GAAAACCAGGACGCACACTTAAGGGTGCCTGCTCATCCCACTCTAACGGCACGCGGTCCGAACCGGACTTGTGAGCCAATCTGATGAGGCAGATTGTATGGAAACTGGTGCTTAGTGAGACAGGGGAGCCGGGTGGAGGTGGTGGTGGTGGTGGTGGTGGTGGTGGTGGTGCACACCTTTAATCCAAGACAGCCAGAGCTGTTACACGTAGAAACCCTGCCTTGAAAAACCATAAATAAATAATACAGGAAATCTGGACTTGGGCTATGATACACTAGGCTCTTCGGCCCCACAGGTTAAGGTTACCTTCCCATTGCTCTTCGGTGAATGTTGAGGAGAGCCTCTGAGAAAACATCTTTCCCGACATTCTTTAACAAAAGCAGAAACACATTCGATAAACTAGCATCTTGCGTAAGTTATCGCCAAAACTAGTCAAAGTGTACCTTTTTCTTTTACTTTCTTTCTTTCTTTCTTTCTTTCTTTCTCTCTCTTTCTTTATTTTTATTTTTTATTTTTATTTTTTATTTTTTACAGTTGATGTGTTTTAGTGTAATAACCTAACCGGGCTAGGGGTAGGGTTTGATCCTCAACACCGAACAAAACAAAACAAACCCATACACCACATAAACAAGCCGGGCATGCTGACTCATACCTGTCATCTCAAGGAGGCTGAGGCTAGAGAATGGACAGTGGAGACCTTTATTTAAAAAATAAAATTAGCCTGGTATGGTGGTACACACCTTTAATCCCAGCCCTCAGGAGGCAAAGGCTGCAGGTCTCTGTGAATTTGAGGTCATCCATAGTGAGACCTTACCTCTCTAAATAAATAAATAAACACATAAATAAATAAATAAATAAACCTAAATAAAAATAGGAAAGTGGGGAGACAGAGTCGAGGCCTATGTTTCAAGGATGCACAGCAACAGGTGAGGCTGTTTGAGACCACACAAGACACACTAACTGAAATTCAATGAAAACAAAGAATGAATATCAGCACCGACCCTAGACTCCAGGTACAGCAGGAGACGCTGACACATGTTTTGTGTTTCTGTGGAAGAGTCGTCAGGCCTTATTAAGTTCCACGACAGTTCCAGGGTCACCTGTTAATTATAATTAGAGGGGTGGTGTGGGAGAGAGAGTATCAAAAGCCATGCAAACAGAAAGGGTGGTGGCCAGCAGCTGGCCTGGCCAAGTGACCCATTAATAGACATCTGTCTGCTGCCTAGTTGAAAGATAAAAGGTATAGTCACTTAGACAAACAAAAGGCTGTTTTCAAAGTGTCCTCACAGGTTTTATGGCTCTGGTCACAGTGTAACCTGGCTCTAGCCAATAAAGAGCCATTGCTTTTTTTTTTTTTTTTTTTTTTTTTTTTCACCTTTCACTGCATTCCTGGTGCCCCAACCCCACCCCTGTCCCCAGACATGCAGTTTCTTGTCCTTCCAGGGATCTCAAATCAGAAGCTGGAAGCTCCAGCCCTTGAGGTGACTCTCACTCCTACCTGGTTTCCAGCATACAAGTTTAGGCAAAAAACTGTTCCCAGGTTTAGGCAAAAAATTCATCCTATCATCTCCAGTGAAACAGTCTGAGCATTGGCTTGCTGAATATTAGAGAGCAAGCCCCTTTTCCCCCCAAAATATTGATATTCACCTTCAACAAGGAGATCCTGTGTGAGTATAACCTGACAGCTAAGAACTTAGTCACCGTCTCTATGCCTCTTGTAGAAGTTTCCTATTGGTGCATTTGGCACGTGAGCACACACAGTGCAAGTACTTCCCTGGGAAGCTTTAACAAGACAGGTTTTTTTTTCCTTCTTCCTACTCTTAGAACTCATTTTTCTCTCCCTTAGGATATTCTTTTTATGTATTCAAAATCATGCAGTCTTTTAGGATCATTCAGGAAATAGTCTTCTATATTACTGTACAAAGAGATGCTATGGATTTATAAATTACTGTTCCTGGACTATTTGAAGTTTACAAAAGACTCTAGGCTAACAAGAGCAGTATGGGGAAAGGATGAGATATTCCTTAGAAGAGCATCAGGATATTTAGGAAGCTTCAGTTATTTAAAATGAAAAGTGGTTCCAAGGGAAATGTCAGGCACAATCAATACAAAACTTGACAAAAGGATGTAACAGACTTCACACGCCCGCTGCTCAGCCTCAGGAATTATCTACTCAAGGATATCTATCCCATTCCATAGTTTGAAGCCAATTGTAGGAATCATTTAATCTGCAAATATTTAGTATACTTATGTAAAACCCAATATGGGCATTATTTTATCCAATAAAAATAGTATCTTTTAAAATACATGGATCATCTTTCAGATTTCTAATTATCTCATAAATAGCACATCATTTTTATTTCTACACTCTGTTGGTTTAATGAATCCTGTACTTCTCTATTTCTCACGAGTTGGTGATTGTATATGAAAACTGATCAGATTTGTAGGACTCAGTATTTTGTTTCTATTATAAGGCAGACAACTGATTTCCTTTCTTTTTATGGTTTTACCAAACATGATGCATATCCTAAATTCTGGGGAAGATGTTTACTGCCAAGCCAGACAATCTGGGTTTGATTCCAGGAGCCCACACAGTAAAAGCAGAGAACCAATTCCTGGAAGTTGTCCTCTAGCCTCCGCACCCGTGCGTGCACATACGCACACACAGACAGACAGACAGACAGACAGACAGACACACAAATAAATAAATAATCTTGAAAAATTCTTTGTAAGGGTTAGGTATTTGTGTGTATGCGTGTGTGTCTGGTGTGTGTGTGTGTGTGTGTGTGTGTCTGTCTGTCTGTGTGTGTCTGTGTGTGTGGTGTGTCTGTGTGTGTGGTGTGTCTGCGTGTGTACAGGTGTATGAGGTTACAGAAGGAACCCAGGCCCTCTCACATTAGGCAATTATCCACCACTGACTGTAGCCTCAGTTCTTACTGGCAAAGCTCTTTTGTGCATTTCAATTCTCCAGTAGTCCCGCTATATAGAAAAAAATAAGCTGGGTGGTGATGACGCATGCATTTAATCCCAGCACTTGGGGGCAGAGGCAGGTAGATCTCTGTGAGTTTGAGGTCAGCCTGGTCTACAGGCTGTAGAGCGAGTTCCAGGACAGCCAGGGCTACACGGTGAAACCCTGTCTCGAAAAAAAACAAACAAAAAGTAAGATTCAGAATGATTGAGGAAGACACTCAATGTTGACCTGGGGCTTCCACATGTGTGTGACCCCACCTAGCACTCTTTAACACACAGTTTCCTACATACAAGATTATCTTTTCACCAAATTGTACAAATACCATTTTTTTCCACACACAGTTTCATCCTGTCTTTCAAGAGTACTGACAGAAATTATTCATGTCAACTCACAAAATTATGAAATATGCTTAGTTACTCATTCAGAAATATTTACTGAACACTTGCCTTGTGCCAGGTGCTATGCCAGCAGCCTAAGCAAGGATAAGATCCATAGCAGCCTCCTCAGGGAGTGCTCTGTGTTGTCTGTGTTCAGAGAAGCATGAAGACAGTCACAATTCGCTGTGATAAATAGGGACACTTGGAGCCCTGTCATGATGAGCAGCTGTCAATCAGGGCATCCATGAACCGTCTGCAGAACATCAGAACATCCACTGACTATATAAG